TGAGTATGTTGCGTTCAGGAAACTCGCAGCTGTGACCGAAATAAACATTGTTCACTATGTAAACCAGTGTGGTGGTTGCTGTTGCCGTTTCCGAACGAAGCAGTAGAGGTCGCTGTTGGATTAGACTTTGTTGTAGTGAATGTCTTCGCAAGGCTGGAGCAGAGAAAATGATTTCGTATAACGCAACAGGGGGGTTTTCGTCGTATGGGGGGCAGGAGAATGGGAATTATGTTAATGCATGAAGATTTTTTCACATAAGGGGGTATTTTCGCCCATGTAGGTTTCGTTCTAGAGGAGTTTCACTGTACCATACTGCTACACGATGTTACGGCAGTGTCGCAAAGCAGTGGTTGAGTGACTGCACACAACTGTTACGGCAGTTAAATAAAGACCGTTGACAAAGCAAGTCGTCTCCTCACGTTTTCGGACAAAAGTTGTGTCACACAACAATATAGTTACAGTGGTCAGTGTTTCTAGTCGTGTCTTATTTTTTTTTCTCTATTTTTGGTATTAAATTATTGTAACTCGGTGACACCCTTAAGGGGTATCTCACTTGTGCGGCGAAGGTTTTCAAGTGTGTACGCATGTAGTGAATGTTGTTCTTTTTCGTCACGGTCCTCTCAGGGCCGAAAACACGTTCCCCGACAATTTTAATGGTCTCAAACAGTTTTTCTCGTCTCAAAAAAAATTTGAACAAAACACACTCAGAAAATGTCCTACTGTTAGGACATCACATAAATGTGTGGTTTCTCATAATGAGCATCTCAAGTATGTTGTTTTGATTGGAACTCAGAAAGTAAGACAAAGACACACAAGTGCCCCACAGGACATTCCTCTGAGGGATTGAATGTTCCCAAATTCCTTGTTCTTGTTTTTTTGTAGCTCGTCGCCAAAGGCTTTCAAAGATCAACAACAGAAAAATCAGTCAATGTTCAGATTTGAGAAGCTGTAGCCAGGTAACGAAGTATTGTTTTGTGATTGTGCCAAATTTTATGAGAAAACATGTGTTGCAACAGTGGAGGGGTTAGCCTCTTAGACTGTTGATCTTCTTACTCTGACGACATGGACTTTTAAACAGACATCTTCATGTTGCAAAATTCGAGTTTCCTATTGGTGAGCAAAAAAATATACATCCATAACTTTCCTTCAGCTCGGAATGGTAGGGGGTTGCTTGGGTGGGGGGTGCTCTTCCTGTGTGAGTCACGTGCATATCTGGTTCACAGAGATGTTTTTGCAAGGAAGAGAAGGACTGACCTAATGATTTCAGCCTGGCTAGAGAGAAAGCGGTGGGGTGAGGCAGAAAAGAGGTGAAGGCTTGCCAAAACAGATGGGAGGTGGGGGAAGGCAAAAAAGAGGTGAGAGGATGGCAAAACACACACAAATGAATACATTCAAAGGAGAAAAGAGATATTTATACCTGGTTCCTTTCTACACCCAAATTATTTGAGTAGCAAAATGTATGCAGTGCAGTGGAAGATAACAACGTTCTCTTGCTTGCATTTGGGATTGGAGTGGATATCTCTTTCCTCCACTACTTCAATGACTTGTTGTCTTTGGGCAGTTGTTGGATAACAGTCACTTCATATTTGGTGCAAACTTTAATAATACATAATTCATAGCTTCCATGTCTGTTTCAATCTCGGCCCGACCTTTACATGTTTGCATACGGCTTCACGCATGCCCCAGTTTCCTCCCACATTTCAAAAACATGCATGCGAGATGAATTGAAGACATTCACTTGCACATTGCTCAGAATGAGGGTTTACATATGAGCCCTGTGATTGACTGTTGACCATTATTCTAATCGAGAGTGTTCCCTGGAAAGTTTACCCATGACCCTGAACTGTTATTATGGGTCTTCGGGAAGTTGAGTGCAATTTGATTATTCACATTTGGCAAAAATCACATATTGTTACCATTATCTGTATCATCTGTATCTGTATCTCACTCCAATTCATTGAGAAGTTGTGAGCCATGAGACAAAAGTGTTATTTGGAAGGGTCTTACATTTCACAAAAGAGCATCGCACACTCACATACAGTTGCAATCCAAACGAAAAAAAAATGAGCAAAGGCCAAAACGGTCTGATGTCAGGATCAAGATCACTTTTTCATCTGCTCTGTGAGTGTGCGATGCTGTTTTTTTCCTTGATGTGCATGTCCTAGACAGTTTATGTGTGCGTTTGCTTCTTTTTTTCCGATTTGAAAGGGTCTTGCCAAAGCACATACTATAAACACATTCAAGTGGCAAGACTGGGTGAAGAAAAGCAGCTGTGCAGGAAAAGGTGATTTCTAAAAGGGAAAATCAATTAAAAATATGAGACAATCGGAAAAAAAATGTATTTTTAAAGTGCAAAAGGTACGAAAAAAACATCAGAAAACTTGAACAGGAAGTCGTGAATTCAGAGTGGCAGAACGGTTGGAGGCACTAAAGTGAAAGAAGCGGAATAATTACAGGCAGTTAAGGAAAAAGGCCAACTTAGGCTGACTGATTCTAAAAAAGTGGAAAAGGTGGGAACTTCTTCCTTCTCCACCAGTAATGAAAAGTGTGTGTGTGTGTGTGTGTGTGTGTGTGTGTGTGTGTGTGTGTGTGTGTGTGTGTGTGCGTGCGTGCGTGCGCGCGCGTGCGTGCGTGCGTGCGTGCGTGGTGTGTGACCCACAGAGCTCCGGCCCGCCCATTGACGCAGATGTAAACACACAGCCATCAAGCGATTGTCCACATCAAAAGTAAAACAAAATGGACTCTAAAACTCCAAGCCACAATCCTCAAGATGTTCCGATGATTCGAAGCGGCAGCTTCTTCAAGGTAAAGACACTGTGGCTGACAATGACTTGACTGAGAATGTGTCCAAAGAACATTTCTAGCTAGGGAACATGTCGCATTCGGAGTCGGAAGATGTTTCTGCATCCAAGAAATCTCAGTGCTGTCCTGCTTATCGTTTGGCTTTGACAACTTGTTTCAGACAGCGTTTCCCAGCTGGGGCTTGAAAGGGGACTTTCTTCCCCCAGCCTAGTTTTCAGGTCATGGAAAGTGCAATGTCTGGGTGGTTATTATGCAAATTAGACCACTGTTGTGTCATAGGGGGCCAATATTCACAACAACGCTCACAGACATACAGTATACTGTATTTGTAAATAGGCTGCTAACAAAAGCTTTACTTGTTTCTGTAATTTCACTCTTGGTGGGCCGCCAGGCATTGCAGACACCCAACTATTGTAGCTTAAAGCGTAACAATCATGACATAATAATGGAACATACCTTGTGTCTATCTTACAAACCCGTATTGTGATCTGGCCTTCCTTAATTTGGTCAGCAATTTTGTGGCTACATCTTAACTCATTCACTCCCAAAGACATATTTATATGTCTTTTCACACTCCACACGTTCAACCCCAGATACTTTTTATTTTTCAATTTTTCCAAGACTTAGGGGACAAAAAAAAGTGTCTAGAATTGGCTGGTACTGAATGAGTTTTAATACACTGTGCGCAAGCAGCACTCACATGTCACTGACACATTCAGTAAAACATTTCAGGATTGATGGCGTTCAAACAACATTGAGCCTAATTCATCATTTTGTAAGAATTTTCTCTCATGGCTTCACAGAAAGGTTTGAGAGGGAGATTTTTGGAATTCATATTATCGACACCATTGAAATTTAACAGACAATAACACGATTCACATAATAGTCCACTGGTTTTTGTTTGTTACATTAAGGTCATATTGTGTTTTCATTGCACCACATGGATTGCACAATGCGGGGGCTTATTTGTACTATACAATAGTTTTTGACCTGAGTGCCAAACCTTTGGGGAGGGTGGGACTTGTGAGGCATGAACAGAGTGGACTTTACCGAGAGGGTAGGGAAGCCTTTGTTGAATGAGCTGGTGCCCGGATGTTGGAGAAAGGCACTGGAGAATACTGCACTCTGTTGGTCAAAATGGGTCATGTAATTTGTGAAACAAAAACCCTAAAAGGATTCATATTACCTCAACTGCACGGTCATATCACAAATGCAAAAACGAGAGGCACTTAAGTCATAAAAGCGAGAGGACATATGAGATCTATAAAAACTATTAGAACATGAGACGTTTCCATTTCATGCAATGTTATGGCTGTGCACTACACTTTTGTGGTTTTCAGGCCGGCACAATACAAAAGGCCGTAGCTGCAAATTATTTTTACAGCCGACAATATTAAATGCCATTGTGTGGGAAATAACGTGCCAGTAATGTTAAGTTTAAGCATACCATCGACTCCTGCATATTGGCGGTGTGGCACCCACGGATTCACATATTGGCCAATTTTTCAAACTACATTTTTCTGGGGGTGCGTTTGGAGGGGAGGGGAATTTATTATTTTTTTAAACCCCAATTTCCCCGTTTTTGTGGATCACGTATTGAATGTTTAACAGCATTTAATTAATGAAGACATTTTAGGATTTGTAAAATAAATATAAAGCCTTTTTTTTCACCCAATGCATTTCATTGTGTTTCAATGACAGTATACGCAGATTTCCACTATTCGTGTGCTGGCCGGGTCCCTATCACCCATGCATAGCTGTAATGCGCGAACATTTTAATTAGATTTTAGAACCAACAATATTTTTAAGTGCAAAGAACCATGCAGAAACATTGAGGGCTGGGCAATGAATCAAAATTTAAATCAGATTTTTTGGGGGGCTTCTCTCAATCACCAAAACGTCATACTGTAACTGAAGAAAAACGATCGGGCCGCACAGCGCGTTGTATTTTTTTAATAATTTTTTATTTAGATTAGTTTCTTTGAGAAGGGACAGTGCAATTCCTGAGAACACATGAAAAAAAAAAGCCAGAATTAGCAAAGAGGCTATTTTTCATCTGTAGTCCCTTGCGTATGGACATTTTGCATCTGTGACGTGTTATTCTGCCTTCTCGGCGTGTTTTAAGATGTTTATTGATCATCAAATTTAAAACTATTCACACAATGAGAATAATTACTCAAAATTATATGTCAAAATACAACATATGCTTTGTTTTAGTTTCGTTCCTGTAAACGCTTAATACTAACCTTGAATGTGAATCTTTATTCACAAGCTAGCAACAATTAACGTTAAAACTCACGAGAAGGATTTCCCATCAAGTCACAAATAGTCCCACACACAAACGTTGTAGGAACACACACACACAGGTAATATAATAATACGCGCAGACATATGTTTTCCTACTCTGTGAAAAACAAGGTATATTAATAAAGTTAAATCGCGACATTCTTTTCATCCTAATGTATGTTTCTCCATGCATGCACCACATTGCCCCACAGAGGCCAAGGTTAGCACAGCATTTTGGATCGATTCAAAGTTGACAGAAGAGTGCGGTGTTTCACTTCTCAGATGGACGGCGAAATACGCTAAACCGGCGGCGTTTAATACCGTCACATCCCATGGCAGTATTGCGCAAATTTTGAAACTGAGATATACTGTATTTACAATACAGTTACGTCCCGAGTAACAACACACGTACAATTAATTCACACCTACCACTGTAAAAGAGGCTGGTAGACCCCTAAAAATTATCACCAGAGGCATGCTGGGTACAATTACAGAATTTTATTTTCAAGAGTATACAAACATGTCTGAATGAGAGACTGGAAAATATGGAAATGACTAACTGAACGGCACACGCAAGACTGATGCAAACTGAACAAGACAAGACAAGCGAACTGGAAACTATACAAGACACGTGCAATTGTGAACCATAATAAGTGCCCGCAAAACAAGAACAAAAATAAGGATGACTGCTGCTGAACAAGGTGCAATGTAGAATGCGAGACATGGAAATATGAGAGACCAAAATAAAAAGGCCCAGAATCATCTGCGTGGTCCAAATATTGAGTGGAAAGCAATACGTTTTCTCACACTTGTAGGTGGATGTAGGTGTGCACAATGCTTTGTGTTTAGTTTCCTGCCGGTCGGAAATTAACACACACACACACACAGGATGGCTGACGAACCCTTTCCCTTGTTGAAAGCCAGATCGGTATCAGTGTCTTCATCTGGTTTGAGAAATTCCTTTGGCTTGGTTGCTGTTGCCACTCCTCCTTACATTTATCTGTCAAGGCCTCTCATTCTTTATTCTTGCAGCTGATTGATGCATTTGCACTGGAGATTGGGGAGTTAAAGAAGGAGATGGTTCACACCTCTTCCACAGTGGACCTGGAGCCCGTGGACCTACAAGGGTATGGTTGTTGTCATCACTTATGCTGTCTAATGATGAAAACCTTTATCAATCTGAACATTTAAAAAAAAAAAAAAAAAAAAACTTAATTGTGTTCAATTTGGGCTTGGCACTCTGGCACTTGGGTCTTTTGGTACAGTAAGTGGATCAAATCTCTGTTCTGTCCCCGCTTTGTCAGGCCGGAGAGAGACGTGTGTGGCGACATGAGTGCCATTGATCTGGGGTCCCCCCAAAGTGGCAGCGCGAGATGTGAAAGGGATTATGGATATGACTCATTACGGAGGAGGATGAGCGTGTTGGACAGACTGACTCAAACCCACCTCGTGTGGCTGCTGCTGACAGTCAATGAAGAGGAGGCCACACACATCCTACTTAAACAGCCGCCAGGGGTTGGATCGATTCAAAGTTGACAGAAGAGTGCGGTGTTTCACTTCTCAGATGGACGGCGAAATACGCTAAACCGGCGGCGTTTAATACCGTCACATCCCATGGCAGTATTGCGCAAATTTTGAAACTGAGATATACTGTATTTACAATACAGTTACGTCCCGAGTAACAACACACGTACAATTAATTCACACCTACCACTGTAAAAGAGGCTGGTAGACCCCTAAAAATTATCACCAGAGGCATGCTGGGTACAATTACAGAATTTTATTTTCAAGAGTATACAAACATGTCTGAATGAGAGACTGGAAAATATGGAAATGACTAACTGAACGGCACACGCAAGACTGATGCAAACTGAACAAGACAAGACAAGCGAACTGGAAACTATACAAGACACGTGCAATTGTGAACCATAATAAGTGCCCGCAAAACAAGAACAAAAATAAGGATGACTGCTGCTGAACAAGGTGCAATGTAGAATGCGAGACATGGAAATATGAGAGACCAAAATAAAAAGGCCCAGAATCATCTGCGTGGTCCAAATATTGAGTGGAAAGCAATACGTTTTCTCACACTTGTAGGTGGATGTAGGTGTGCACAATGCTTTGTGTTTAGTTTCCTGCCGGTCGGAAATTAACACACACACACACACAGGATGGCTGACGAACCCTTTCCCTTGTTGAAAGCCAGATCGGTATCAGTGTCTTCATCTGGTTTGAGAAATTCCTTTGGCTTGGTTGCTGTTGCCACTCCTCCTTACATTTATCTGTCAAGGCCTCTCATTCTTTATTCTTGCAGCTGATTGATGCATTTGCACTGGAGATTGGGGAGTTAAAGAAGGAGATGGTTCACACCTCTTCCACAGTGGACCTGGAGCCCGTGGACCTACAAGGGTATGGTTGTTGTCATCACTTATGCTGTCTAATGATGAAAACCTTTATCAATCTGAACATTTAAAAAAAAAAAAAAAAAAAACTTAATTGTGTTCAATTTGGGCTTGGCACTCTGGCACTTGGGTCTTTTGGTACAGTAAGTGGATCAAATCTCTGTTCTGTCCCCGCTTTGTCAGGCCGGAGAGAGACGTGTGTGGCGACATGAGTGCCATTGATCTGGGGTCCCCCCAAAGTGGCAGCGCGAGATGTGAAAGGGATTATGGATATGACTCATTACGGAGGAGGATGAGCGTGTTGGACAGACTGACTCAAACCCACCTCGTGTGGCTGCTGCTGACAGTCAATGAAGAGGAGGCCACACACATCCTACTTAAACAGCCGCCAGGGGTGAGGACCATGATCTTGAATAATCACGCATCATGCACATTTTCTACGTATGTATAATCTCCCATGGTATGGGATTGCAGGTTTTCTTGGTAAGGAAGTCAGTCACACTGCAGAGGAAGGTCCTCTCTGTGCATCTGAAAGATGATCGGGCAGGGAGCTCCATCAGCCACTTCCCCATCAGAGAGAGCCAGTATAGTAAGTTTCATGCACTGATGATTTATATGAAGATTCAAGTAAAATACAGTGGCGCCTTGAAACATGAGTTTAAATCATTCCTTGACGACACTTGTAACTCAAAATGTTTGTATCACAGATTTTAATTCCACTTTGAAATGGACGCAAAGGCCATTAATCTGGTCCAGCGTCCCCCCACAAAAATGTACTTTGAATGAGAAAAATATCTCTCCAAAATATTATTGTCATTAAATACAACTAAAAAGTATTAAACTGGTTTTGTCAGACTTTCTCCTTCAATTGCCTTGGTCACATGTGGGCAGTATACATACAGATCAGACTGACTCAAACGGTTTTCGACCATAATCCGTTCCAGAAGGCTGTTCGAAAACCGATTTGTTCGAAAACCGATTTGTTCGAAAACCGAAACCACGCTCTTTTTAAAAAAAAATGTTTATTGAACACGTCTGCTCACAATGGAAAGCGACACGAGGAAGCATCACTTCCTCATCTACCCGAGGAAGGCGAGAGGAGTCAAGTGGTGCATTCAAGTGCACTCAGTTTGTTCGAGAACCGATTTTCGGTCGTAATCCGAGGCATAAAAAACTCGAAATTTTTGGTCGAAAACCAGTTTGGTCGAGAACAGAGACGTTCGAAAACCGAGGTTTGACTGTACTGCACTGAAGGCTTAGCTCCTCTCTCGGCTTCTCAGTATGGCAATATGGTAATGTTAGTCCTTCTTAGCAGAGGATAAAGATTATATGCCTGTTAGTATTGTTATATGTTGCGTCTCCATATGTTGCTGCACGTTTTATGTTCAGATATCCATTGTTTAATGCAATGGTTCTCAACTGCTGTCACTCTGGGACCTGCATCTAGTTGTTGAAAGGTGGCAACCCACTTTTATGGAAGTAGGGATCAATAAAGCTTTTTTTTTTTGGTTTAAAATAGTCTTGAACATAAATATCTTTCAATTGAAGTCGAGAATCGCCGGAATTCTTACTGGACGCTGAGCTGAGGACGCTTTTCGACATCGAACGCGCGGACACCTTGGAGCTAATCAAGAGAAGAACCCGCCTCGCCGTGCCCACGTCGCCCTCGAGGCAGTGGAGCAGCGTTCGCTGGCGTCGTTTGCGACGACCAACTCTGTCGGCCTCATCACCGCCCTCGGAGCCGGCCACGATTTCCTCAACGTCGATCCGGCCGAGTGGTCGGAGAGGGACGACTTCACCACGGCTCGTCGGCGCGCTCGTCACCTACGGGTGGTGAACGACTTTGCGGAGAGGGGCGTCGCCCTCATCAGCGCCTTCTGCGGCGCCATCACGCGCGACGAGGAACAGCGACAGCACCTTCTGCAGGTCGTGGAGCGACACCGGGCGTTGCACCCGTGCGCGAAGTAGGCATGGGATGGCACGCACGGCGGATTTCGTTTTTTTTTGCGGTCTAACAGTGTCACTAGTGTTGATGGACATTATAGACAGATGGACAGATAGACAGATGGACCAGTTAACATGGACCAACAATCTCACCAGTGTTGAAGGATAACCACGGTTGCCTTTTTTGCAATACATGCGTTCCTGTCTTCCGTCTTTGAATTATTGCAAGTGCGAACTGAGCAAAACAAAATCCTTACTGTACGGGAGAAACCGTACTACCATTCAGCCCCGTAAGATTCTTTCCATAGGGGAAACTTTGGTCGCTCTGCGGGACGGGATAAAATTATCCGATCGGAATAAAATTTTGCACACATCCTTGTGTCATAGTATCGACAAGATTTCCGACCCGGCCCGACGAATCCGACAAACTTTTCCAAAATGGACCACCCTAATGTACATTATATGTTAAACGCTCTTTCATATGAGTTGGATGCCAAAATAGGGCTCTATATTAATCCTTTCAGGGACAGCGGTTTCTACAGTGGATAGCTTATCATGTTATCAGGTAACAGGTTATCATTATTGGTGCACAAAAGTGTTCACTGTTGCGCTGATAGCACGAGTACAGAGTTTTTCGGGGCGGTATAGCAGGACCATATTTGCTGATGTATGGCCGTCTCAATTGGCATACTGATCTCAAATCAGGCATATTAAACCTGTTGGACTGATTAGGCCCCACCTTCTCACAGCGTGTGGTGTGCCCCTGAGGACAAACGAGTGACGTGCAGCCAATCAGAAAGCGAGGTGGGGAGGAAGCAGGAAGTGGAGAATTTAAAATCAAAACAGTCATGACGCAACAGAAAATCCGTGCTCGCTCTGGCTTCGGTTCTTTGACCAACGCCTTTTCTTTTTATGTCAGTGCTTTCTGGTTAAATTAAAGTGCAGACTATCGCCACTGCCTCATTTTTGCTGCCACATTTGTTGACTCTTAAGTCATGTTGAATCTCGAGAGATTTTGCGTGATTTCCTATCCGACCCGGGAATTTTCATGAACATGATCAGTTCGTATGTGATGTGTTGACTGTCGTGTGGCTGCACACCGTACAATGTATGTATGTTAAAAACGGTTTCATCCGTGATTTTTTTTTACTCGTCATGCGTGGGGTCTGTCAGGTTTTGGAAGTTTGCCAAACAATTTGAAATCTTGCTGTGTGAATCAGGCTTAATATTTCCTGTCACTTGATGCAGTATGTTCCATGTGGGAACTTGGTACACCTCCTCAAAAATCAGAATACATGTACTCTACCTGTAAATTTCTACCAGCTGGCCTCAACCCACAAAAAATGGGGCCTGCAACCCACTTTTTGGTACTGACCCATGTCGCCAAGGCACCAGAATGAGCAGAAGAATTGCTGTGTGACAAAAACTGTTTCTTTTTATTTGTATTTAATTATGTCTAGGGCTGCAACCAATGATTATTTTAATCAATTTATTTTTCTGTTAATGATCTTAGTGTTGAATCATAATGTGCAACTGCTGTCTGTCGCTGGATCTGAATCTGAGAGGTCTGAATCTAGTCAGTGCTTGTTACGGCCCAATTTTCAACTCATGTGACCTTTGAGAATACTTTTTCTGTTGTGGAGACTATACATTAGAAGTAGTAGTTGTCGGAGCACAAAAATCTTTTTTTTTTCCCCCTTGGAAAAGCTTTTAGTTAGCAATGCTGCTTGCAATGTCACGGAAGTGAGGGAAGTATCTCTGTGTGAAACAATGAGCTCATAGCAGCTGTCACAATTCCTTGATATGACTGCACATATGCGAGGGCGTGTCTGTGTTGACATGTGGGTCATCTGCTCACCCGATGGCTTTCCCAACCTGCACACATTGGAGTGGAAAATATTCCGTGAACGCTGCATTCCATCCATATATTTTACAAGGTTGCACGAAGGCAGGATGACTTCTGGCAAAAGGCAGACAACTCCCTAGTCCTTGGCTGGTTGCCAGTCAATCACAGGGTACATTGAAAGTAACCATTCACACTCACATTCACGCCATGACTGCAATGGGGAACCCCGCCTTTATGAAAGTCAGGGATGCTATATTTGGATGACTATATATTACTGTATCGACTCTATAGTACATTGATTGTTATAGACAACATTTCATATCTATATGTTTGATTGCTTTCTAGCATTTTCTCTTGATGGATCTGGGATCAGCTTTGCAGATCTTTTCCGCCTGGTGGCTTTCTACTGTATAAGCAGGTACTTAGTACTTTCTCCATTTTTTTCTCTTTATTCATGTGATACAATGCTGCTGGGGGATGTCGAAAAACGATGTTTAGACTAATTTGTTGGTTTTTACTGCACGAGATGCAGATTACAACAATTTAGGTCATATGAAGGAATGTAAGGACAGAACACACAATTTGTTGATTTGCATTCATATTATATGACATGTACTTTGAGTTATTAAAGATTCATGTAATAGGATAATCAACATCATAACAATAAAGAGCATTGAGGAAAATGATTGACAAACTGCATCGTCATCAATTATAAATATAAATCATAGACATTAGTTTTGGATCTGTTCATAAGACATAAACCACGTTGTGTTTTGTTGTTTTATTGATAGGATTTCTTAATTTTGTGTTTCTGATCACTTTAGGGATGTGTTGCCCATGCCTCTCAAACTACCCGAAGCCATTGCATCTGCCAAGACACAAAAAGATCTAGAAGAGGTGGCTCAACTTGGACCAGGTAATCTAATGCATTGCTTCGGAAAGGAGGCAGTTCTGAATCAATAAAAATATGTTTCCAGTATTTTGGATTCACGTATTTTAGTGGGCAGGTAGCCAGCTACTGGTGGAGGACTGCAAGAAAATGTTCACGTTGCGGCATTGACACTGTATGACCTTTAATGAAATTTTTCCAAGGACGGCAAATCCCTGCTAGCGCCCCTGCTGGTCAGTAGCCTAATAATTTCCCCCAACAAAATGGTGTTGTGCTGAAGCATTGTGTGTACTTTGACACTTTTATTATATTTGTGTTAGCATTTGGACCAGAAATATTCAATAACATTTCATCTCTTACACACAAAAAAAAAATCCACCTAGATTCGTCAAAAGGGTAAAATGACGATGACAAGGCAGTTTTATTTCTATAGCACATTTGCAACACAAAGCAACTCAATGTGCTTCACACAACCAGAAGCCCAACACCTAAAAGCATTTACAAAAAGACGTGTTCACATCATCGATAAAAAGTGTGACGATTTGGGATATAAAGTGATCCCTCGCTACTTAGCGATTAACTTATCGCGGTTGCAGTGCATCGTGGATTTGTCAAAAATATTCATGAAAAAAAAATTATTGAAAATGCCGCAAAAGGTCTGTGAGAGGCAGCGAAAGTCAGCAAAACAACAGCGAGTCACATAGAGCAACATATACAGTACTACATGTATATTTCATGTTTATGTTTACTGTATTTTGTTATTTATACATTAACCTAACCTAACTTATACATTTTATATATATATATATATATATAAAATTCTCCCTAACGCCATTTGTAAAACGAGAAACACAACACATAAAAATGCAAATGAGAATGCATGCGCAGAGTAGCTCGTAAAAATGAATTACCCCCTTTCAGTGATACACCTCTGCCAAGAATACACGGTTGACCTCGCACTTTGAAGGAATCTCTCGTCAGTTATTAAATGTTCCCAAGCTATGGCACCGAATGGCACAACAAAAGTCAAACTTTCAGGTCATTTTTGCACATATGTGAGGACAAATGCATGGGACAAAATGTCTGTGAAGATGAGGGAAAAAAATATTGATGATGACGTAAGAACAGGAAATGGAACTTATCTCAACAGTGTCCTGGCTGCTCAGTACAACATAAACAATACACCATTTCGTAGAGGGCTCGTCCTCCTTATGGTCATCCTCAGCTGTCTTTGGGCAAGAGGCGAGTGGTTAGCTAGTGACTCATCGATCTGTGGTTTGGGGGTTGATTTTCACTCGCTCCGCTCCAGTCATTACAGTTCTTCTACGTTTCGATGCCATGATCTACACGACGTAAGTGAATAAAGTTAAAATCTTTCGCAATTGCAGTCAAACGCACGCCAATAAAAAGTCACTTACACGTCTTTGTTTCGAATCTGATGAATGTGAACGGCGAAGCGAACACGTCTGTTCGGTCGTGTCGAGTGGGGGCTGCTTTTAAGCTAGTGCCGCGTTCTATAGGACGTTAAGTGAATAAAGTTAAAATCATTCACAATTACAGTAAAACGCACGCCAATAAAAACTCACTTACACGTCGTCGTTTCGAATCTGATGATCGAAAAACGCGAACTGAAAATGTGTCTCGTGTCGCCGTTCCGTAGCATCGGGTTGGCGTTGCGTGTATTTAAGCTCCCGTGGCATGACGTCTCAATCCGGGTTACGGGTAGTGGAATTTCCGCTTACGTAAGTTCCGGTAACATGTAATGTCGTAGTCAAAATGTTAAGGCTTTTGTTCCGGGTGAAGGATATTCCTTTGTTATCACATCTGAAAAAAAGTGAACTACCTGAAATGACATCTTTTAATTTTAAAACTAACAATAACTGACTATAATTAGAACAAAAATGTCCTTTGTTTGAATGTTTGTCAATTAATATCATACATGAGGTTTCAATGTTCATTTTAAATGTATTTATTTTGGTATTGCTGCATATACGTACAGAAGAAGGAAGGTCAAACAGTCATTTGAGAATTGTAGTTTACTTTACAACACATTTTTAATTATGCTGCATTCAACAAATACTTTTTTTTTTTTTGAATAAAACTAAACTAAACTGAAAGGAAGCATTAAAAATCCATCCATCCATTTTCAACACCGCTTATGCTGAAGAGAGTCGCGGGGAGTTGCTGGAGCCTATCCCATCTGACTTCAGGCGGAAGGCAGGCTACACTTTGAACAGGTCACCAGTCAGTTGCAGGGCACACATAGACAAACAACCATCCACGCCCACATCCACATCGTCACTGAGTGGGAACAGATTTCACACTGCCCGCATACCACTCCACCATCAGTGACTAAAAAAAAAAAAAGTAGCTATAGTGTGAAAAGTCCAAAAGATTTATAAACTTGGCCCATTCAACAGGTAAATGTATTAATGGCTTTTGGCAAGACAACAGGAACAAAATTATGACTAATTCCTGGTGAATATTTTGTACTAAATCCCGAATAGCAAACAATAATCTTTATAAAGCTAAAGATAAAAATATCAGTTGTTTCAAAAAAGAACACCTTTTTGAAACACTCATCTGACTTTCATGCAGGTAGCGTGGTCGGTCTAAATGTGAGTGTGAATGGTTGTCTGTTTCAACATGTGCCCTGTGATTGAGTGGTGACCAGTCCAGAGTGTAGTCCACCTTTCTCATGAAGTCAACTGAGAGAGGATCCAACACCCTGCAATCCTGAACAGCATAATACGCTTTGTAGAAAATGGATGGGTGGATGGAAGACAACTTATTATGTATGCCAAAAAGATACATTGAAACTGACGTAAGGTTTTTTTTTGTTTTTTGTTTTTTTTAAATATGCTCCAGAAAAAGACCATGTAGAGGTGAAGGAGGACATTGGGCCACTTATTCTGACTGACATTCACAACACATGTTTATAAAGTGTCATAAAGTGTTTCTGGTTTGTGTGGTGATGATTGACTTGCTAAACTTCAGCGCACAAAATAACAAATAAAACCCCACAGAGAGAATTACAACAACTTTAAATAACGCTGGGAAGAATGTCCTCTGCTTTTCTTAGTTCTTGACACATTTACAGTTGCCTGAACCATGTCAACTCGATCTGATGCATGCCCTTTTGTGTGTCGTGTAATGGAAATTGTTCTATATTACTGTATTCATTATTCATTCTATTCATTGCCGTTATTTTACTTTTACGCTCATTGACAAGGGTTGACAAGTTTCATATTGTCACTGTCCCCTGTCAGCCACTTAGACTCACAAGGCCACATACCTGCTGTTGCAAAGGATTGATTCACTCACTTGGCCTTTACATAGAACATTCCACATTCTGCAGCATGATTACATTACACCTAGCCTTCAAGAGGGATGATCTAGTTATATACATATATAATTATATTAGTTATTGTCATCTTTGAACTGGGGCTTTATTTCCAAAAAGTCTGAGCAGTGAAGGTTGTAACTGTTTTTGAAAAGCACAAACAAACAAAACATTTTGGCTTCTAGAATAAAGACAAGAAAGATTTGATAAAGACAACAAACAGCAAAAGTAATTGTGATCTTTCCATATCAGAAATTACACGACATGTACAAAGATATCGGTGTCATGAATGGGTCTGCGCACGTACTGAAGTATGCTATAAAACTGCTGGCACTACCGGCGTCTACTCTCTGAGTCTGGTGGGCTTCAAAAACAGCTGTCACAGACACATGCACAGCTCTTCGACAAAGAACCCCTGCAGTTGAATTCCAAAAATGCAGTTTAGAAACATTTGGATGTTTCACAGATCACTAGATGGTACCAGGGATGTGTTCCTCGAGCCGGTCCTTGGCCTCGAGGACCGAAGGTCGGTCTTTAGGAGTCAATTCCTTGGCCTGCCGGTCCTCGGACACAATGAGGGATTAGAGCCTCGAATCCCTTGTCCACAGGTATAAAGTAGGACCGAGAATCGCACAGAGAGCCGGTCCTTGGCCTCGAGGACCGAAGGTCGGTCTTTGGGAGTCAATTCCTTGGCCTGCCGGTCCTCGGACACAATGAGGGATTAGAGCCTCGAATCCCTTGTCCACAGGTATAAAGTAGGACCGAGAATCGCACAGACCACGACGGAATCAAATAAATTCCATCCAGGGTGAAGCTTATTGATGGGTTAAGCTGGCGCTTTAAGAGGGGCAGGTCTGCGACAAGTGGCAGTTAGCGCAACGAATAAAGAGCGGCATCACAGTTAGTTTCAATCACGGTTTGTTCCGTTCGTGATCGGCAGTTTAAATAGCGTGTAAAGTCTTTCTGTAACAGTGGTGTCTTTTATGTAGTTATTTTTGCACAGTCGTCACGTTTCTGCGGTGGCACTAATGTTTGTTTGAACCAAGTAATTTGCGTTACAGCTGGAGTCAACGGGTTTGGCCGTTGGGGTTTGGAGTCCTTTTGCTCGATTCCAGTTATGTTTTTGGTGAATGCTTTCTCGTGTTTGGAATAATGAATATTGATAATACATAGTTTAAAATCATGGTTGATTTAATTCTTTTTTATTA